ATTAGTGTATAATCTAAAAATAAGCTAAAATGTTGTTAGTAAGGATGTGGTATCACAAGCATTTACATTGACTTGCTACTTTCACTGTGCTAATTTATTGAAAACATTCCAAGGTTAGCATGAGGCCTATCACTAACATGTTGCTTAACATTGTCATAAAAATGAGCTAAAGTGCTAAGGTTAGCAAACCTCAAAGGATCGTTGGGTCAGTTAAGGATAAAACATATTGGAACAAAATGAGGCAAGTAATAGAGGAACGAGGCATGAAAAGAGATTTTCTTTTAAAAATTTTTTTCAAGATGAGAATGAAAGTATAAGGCACGAGGAAGGAAATGCCAGAAGGGGGTATATATGCTTGAAACACTTTCATTTGATTGCTTCCCAAAATCACTGTGATTGGGTGAAGATGGTTTTCTCCCCCAAAAAAAAAAAAAAAAAAACTAAAAAATGTTTTATCTCAGTCCTTCTTCCCTACATATATGACCAGGGGTAATGTAGATCTAATCTCCTTCTATCATCGCAGTTGGTCCCAAAGGCTGTCCGTTCTTCTCCCCCCCCAAAAAAAAGCCTCATCTTTCTTTGAAATAAATGAAAGTCCACAGGGTGATGGAATAAAGATGAGCCGAGGCTTTGACTTGATGCAAGATTGCCACAGGGCCCAGACTTAAGAAGCCTGCACCCTCGTCTGCCGCGTAGAGATACTGGGGCCACGGCAAGGAACCAGATAATCTGATAGAATTTCAATCAACATCGATCAGATAAGAAAACAGCAGAATGTCGGACTTTAAAGTCGGGACGGCGCTCCGGCAGCTTCAGCTTTTTGTTTAGTTTATTTGGAAATGAACACCCGGCGACAACGCGCCGAGCTCCTGTCAATCTCCTCCAGAAACTTTAGCCTCTGTAATTCCGACACACCGGCTGCGGCTGGCTTGGAGCGACCTCTGAACTCCAGGTATTCTCATATGATATGCGTTACGCTCAGAGTGACGGGATTACTCCTTTATTAGCCGGTGGCGGCGTTTACGGGACATGCAGAGACTCGGAGCGCCTTTGATCTGCAAACAGAAGCAAACAGGCGGACTGCAGCATAGTTTGCATCTCTCAGCTTAAGCCTTCTGGTGTGGGAGACATCTGCAAAAATCCTCTTGGATCAAAGGATGACTATTACACATACAGGCCTCAGCACACCCCCAGCTGCAGCTTTAGAGCACTCGTGACCCCTATCAGCAGGCCACCAGGTTTAAAAAAAACACAGGTGGGGAGCAGGGGGGGTCACGCATTCGGACACATGCTAACACACACCCACCATTGTTCCGTCCGCTGTGAAAACCGGAGAACTTATCGCTCGTTACTGCCGAAGCCCGCAGCTTTTTGGACCTCTTCTACTTCAGCTGTTGCATTCAAAGTGGCAGGTGCGGAGAATCACTGGACATGTTTTCATTCGTATGCCACAGAAGTCTTATTAGTTCTGACCCTGCTTGCCTGTAAATTCACAAGTTCGCCTCTCTCAATGAGCTCTCAGACACGCTCCAGAGGCGGCAATGGTGTGAATGTTCTGTGTCCTTGTAGCAGACTGGAAATGCGTTGCCCTTTCCCTGTCTGCGTCTACGCCGCTTTTTAAGTGAACTGATAACTCTTGAACCGTCTCACTTTTTGTTGTGTTACAGCCACAAAGTTTGGCGCACGGTTGTGTTCTTGAGATTTTATGTGATAGAGCAATTCAGTATTGCACCACTGAAATGGAAGTGAGATGGGCATGTGTCTTGAACAATTCTGTAAAATGGAGCACCTGTTTGTATGTAGACCGAACAGGTCTATGTTTTTAGAACAACCTTTCAATGCAGTAGCAGATTCAAGTCTTTTAAGGCTTATCTCTCACCTTAGTTTCAGGTTATTTTCAGCTATTTATGGCATTAATCTTCCAATATCATAATTATCAGGTGAATTTTAAATATTTTTTTAATCAAAAACATGGCAGGCCGCTGCACAAATGGCTGCCTGAGCGCCCAACCACTGGGCTTAGCAAGTTTTCTGGGGAAAACCCAGAACAAGCATCTAAATTGCCACTCTTGAGATCATGACAGGCAATCTGTATGGAGACTCTCTGTGCACATATTGCCAGTGACCTTTGTGCTCTTACACAGGTAAGAGCAAATTAATGAGGATTGCTCATTTACGGTCCCTATAACCCATCTGATGCTGCAGTGACACATTCTGCGAGTCTGTGAGGTTGTCTCCTGATCAGAGTTGCCGGTTTCCTGTGCCAGGCTCCTTGTCGCACTTCTACTTCAGGCTCATTACAGACGCTGATGCATTCGGAGGTAAATTTAACAGTGAGACCTTGGAGCATCGGTAACAGTCACGACCGGCTAATTATCTGCTGAATTGCTCGGGCTCAATTCAAGGAGTTACAGTGAAGTCAACTCAATCCATCTTTTGATTCTGCAGAGCTGTGCCAGACGCTTGCTGTTTGTCAAAGCAGGCCGACTCCGTTGGTGTCTTTGCTTAATTCTGAGATGTAGCTAACTCCATATTGCCCTCATAAAGCGTGGAAGTCTTTCCAGGAAACCGGGGTCTGGATACGGCCGTGTGGGGCGGAGGTCCGAGAACAGGAGCCACTGTATAGCAGTTTGATAATCCCCAGACTTCCTTTGTACTGTCATGGTAGTTTTACCTTTCATTAAATCTCACCCCAGGTCTAGGCCTGGTCTCAACGCAGTTTCCATTTGCAGCACGAGTTACTGAAACACAGAAACTTGTTCTAATTGCAGGGTTCTAATTCTTTAATTTGCCCCAGGATTTGTTCACATTCTTCAACCCACCACATCGTCCATCACACACCAGACTAGATCCCTGTTTACTTATGGAGACCGGCTGGTTGTGAGAATGGAAGAGGAACATCAATAGAGTTGCTTACTGCACAAAGTACCTGGCTCTCATAGCCGGTACACGCTTGAGATGCTGATCGTAACAAAAACCTTCCCTTAAGGGTCAAACAGAAAAATCCATGAATCTGTTTGCAGTGAGTCTGGCCTGCTCTTTGACCAGCAGCAGGGATTAAGCTAATTGCATGCAGTGGACTTCACAGATCTCTGTTTGGTGGAGTTTTCCCACCTCCTTCTGTCTTGTTAAGCCTCTCATTTAACAAGCTGGGATGGTTGCAGAATGTCCGCTGCCTAAGGAGAAATAGAAGAGAGATTTAATAAGTACCTTGGAAACACATTCATACCCACTTTTCAGATGTCTGTACGCATAAAGCTAGTGTTTTTGCTAGCTTTAGCAAAAATACCTTGTGATGGTCTGTTAGGGTTGGAATTGTAATTGTGACGTGAAAATTTATAAGGGATATGAAGACTTTCAAAACTGGAAAAAAATTTTTGACTTCCAATCATTGATGAGAAGCTAATGCTAAAGTGCAAACTTCAGTTCAAATTATATCAAAGTAAGACTGACCAGGATAGAAGGGGAAAGAAAGAGAGATGATTTTCAGGAACGGCTTTCTGATTTTCATCAATCGCATTTTTTATTATGGCCTTTGCTACTTAATTCACCTCAAATGAATAGAGGGGACATTGATTTAGCAATAAACAGCAACAAAAAGCCTCCCCCCATCAGCCCGCACCATAAAAGCATAAGCTACCTCACACCCCAGCGAGCCACCTAATTGCCCTTGTCCGCATAAAAAGGGCCTAATGCAATCCTCACACGTATAAACTCATAGGAATCAAATGGAGTATAACTAATACAATTGATTGTGATCAGGCAGTATGAATAAGACGATAACTGAGTCTCCCCCAAGTGCTGCTAAGAAGGAAGCGCCGGGATCCATGCATCATTTAGGAGCAGCTATTTATTGTGCTTTTAATGAAGCCTGATTGGCAGCGTGTCCTGGTGCCCATTATCATCAGAGGGATGTTCTCGTTCTAATCTGCAATTATCGGCATAATTGCGCTCGGAATCCTCCGAGTCTAAATAAGCAATCACTTCCCGGCGCTCGCGGCGCCACCTGTGCGATTGGCTCCGGGTAGATGCGGCCGGTCCCGCCTATCGACGAACCCTTTTAGAGCTCGTCTACATCGGGATTTTTTTTCTAGATTTCATGTTTTGCTTTGTTTTTTTGGCCTTGAATGTTACATCCACCTTGGCTTACTTTGTGTCTTTTTCCCTTTTTTTGTGTCTTCCCACGTGCTTTTGTTTAACCTTTCGTATCCCCCCCGTCCCCCACTCCCGCTCCGCCGTGAACATCCCTTGCGCTTTTATCTCTTCGTCCTTGTCTGACCCGCACTGCTCATTCCAGTCCATCACCGCCCCTCCTGAACGTCCTCCCTCCCCCACCCAGCGCAAATTCCTAACCTTTGGTCACTTTCATCCTCGCGGTATGCATAAACTCGGGCTTATTATCAAGCCGGTTGTTTCATCATAATTATGTGTTTTGTCATGTGCTGCCTCTGTAGCTGATGATAAAAGGAGAGCCTGATTAAGCTGAGGGAGCGCTATTGATTCCTATTGACAGGCCCCTCAAAGGCCTTTAATGAAGGAGATGTAAATGAGGGTTTTCCACGCCGTTTAATGACTATGTGCTATAAAAGGCCGACATTCTTCAGCATTCTGAATAGAGACGTACATCATTTGGCTGTGGTGCATTCTCGGCTATGAGGGTGGGTTTTTTTTTTTTCTTTTTGGGCAGTAATAGCTAGAAATGGAGAGAAGGTCGGAAGAAAGAGACAAAAAGGGGGGGAAAAAAGAAGCACTTGAGAAATGTCAGCCCAGATATGCAAGTGTGAATCACGACTGTCAGATCAGGGGATCCCTGAAAGCGCTTCCCGAGGGGAGTCGGTGTGGTCAAGTGAATTATTTAAATGTGACGGTGTGGGGAGGGAGGGGGTAAAAAAGCACCTGCATCAACATGCTAGTTAGACCTGGAACATTAAGGATGTTCCCGGTGAAGACTCGCAGCCACGGCGTCTTAGTTTTAACGTCCTCTTGTCCTCTCTCGGCAGCAGTCCGATGGCTCCCAGCAACCACGACCGGATACAGAGGCTGAGACACGAGTTCCAGCAGGCCAGGCACGGGGAGGAGCCAGAGGAACATCAGGGCTCCCACAGCTTCAACCAGCCCTGGGTGAGTACCGCACTCTGTCACAAAGACGCTGAATCAGCCACTGATTCATCTAATTTTATCCTTATATCACTTTTTGTTTTTCACCTTTGCCAAAAAAGCTGGGACTTGTATGTTGTATGTTTTAATATTTTGTGGTTTTCTATTTTTTTTTCCTATCCCACATTTATGCTCTAGTGAGGATTTTTAATGAAATAAATCCACAGACTCACATTAAGATGCGTCATAAATTCTTGAATGGTGAAAATAAATCTCATAAAAACAGAAGGCGAAGAACAGAAAGTTTCATTACTTAACCCACCAGTTGTCCGACTGAAAATAACAAATATCTATGTCAGACCTTGGAGTTGTACAAATAAAAACCTTAGCTGGCCGGAGTATCAGGTTTTAAAGAAGCTGCTATTCGTTCCAGAGACGTTTTCTTCTGGATAAGATGCATAAAAGTCGGTGAAGACATATCACTGAAGAAAAGCATTTTATGCCACGTAAGTGTGCAGGACTCGCTACTAAAAGGAAACCGACGGCACCGAGCCGCCGCGTTCCATTTAATTTTCATTAAACGTGATTAGAGGGATTTTTACATTTTCTCAATTAAACTTTGAGAGCACTTTCTTTAAGCTCATCTCCACTTCCACGATTGATCTGGGACAACAATGGGATTTCCTCTTCATAATTGGAAAAAGGTAATTAAGTTAATTGCGTAGTTAATTTATTCCGGCTTGAATCGCATCACACCCTGCTGTGCATCAGAAGTTGGGCTTTGAGTTCAGCTTACACGCCGGGTTGCATCTCAACCGGCGGCCCGACATTTTTTGCCGATAATCTCGTTTCGTGACGTTTTTTGGTCTATGCTTTGGTGTTCACTGACATTTTATGAAGTTGGCTGGAGTTTTTATGAAGTACTTTGAGAGACAGTCAGAATTGTCGGAAACTGCATGTCCAGCATATCTTTTTCCGCTTAACATCCATCGATTTCAAAGAATCAGTAACTCGCTGCGCACGCCAACAATCTTCCCAGAAACCTGCAGCCTGTTGGGTCGGTACCCAACGGTGGCTGCTCCTGCACCATATCAAATGTAAACTCGACAAAAATCAGGAACTTATAGATTAATAACTAGAAAATCTTAGGCACTGAGTTAAAAATTTCAAAAAGAATATTGAGTTAAAGTTTCCATATTTATAGATCGGGTCTTTATTAGTCATCTCAACTGCAGTTTAAACCAGATGTTTGTCTACACTACATAAAAAGAAACGGATGCATTTTTTTCACACTGACATGGAATCAAAATAAACTTTTCCCGTTTGACATCAATCATTTTTTTAGTTAAGTGCCAGAATAATGAGAGGGGTCATTTTTAAAGGCAGTTTTCATTGATTTCTTCAAAGTCAAAAGTTTAAATAACACTTTTTAAGCAATTTCAGACATTTGATGTCACGTCTTCTCTTAGGCTTAACAGGTGTGTATTTATATTTGTTTTTGTTTTCCACGTCCTTATTGCACACACAAAATAAAGAAACAAGTTGAGAAACCAATGAACCTATTGGAGCCGTCATCTAAACGACGGGTCAGAATGTCAGACCTTGAAAGTCAAATTAACCGGCACACAATTTTCTGGGGAGCAAACGGTGTCATTTTGTCAGTTTAATTGCTTTGGTGTGACCTTCGTGTCCTGCTGTGTTTTTTTTTTTCTTTCTTTTTTTGCAGTTGTCCAAATTACTTTAGGTAAGACTGCAGCAATCTGCAGACTTCCCAGAAAGTTCCTGTGTGGATAAAGGCGGCCCTTTGTTTGCTCCGGGTTTGCGTCAGTGTTTGTCCAGCTGATGGGCAAAGAATCACTGAGAAGACGTCCATCTCTGTTTTCCTCATTTCTCTCTCTCTCTTTCTCTCCTTTCGTTTGCTGCAAGATGTCAAGTGTTTGTTCAGCACTAAGCAGTCTAAGTCGTTCTCTTTCAGCATCTGAGCTCCTAATTGCTTGTGACTGTTGACATTGCTGGGCATTTTGTGCCATACCAGTGCCGTTCCTCTAGCAACAAGCTACCGGGAGGTCACAGGAGGATCTGTATTATTAGTCACCATCTTATTCCATTTGTGTAAACAAGTAATCACAAAGGAAGCACCTGTAATCAGATCCACTTGTGTAATAATGCATAGAATCTAGAGAGGTTCAGCAGGGTTCCCTCCAGAAAATCAGCTCAGCCACTTGGTAGCGGTGTGAGGGCAGTCCAACAATGCTTTTGTGTTTAAAAACCTGTAAAAGTGACTGGACAATTTAGAAATAACAACAAAGAAGGTACAGCAGTGAACAACATAAAAGCACTCTTTCTGTAGATTGTGTAAGGAAAAGCAATTTTTAGCTTTTCTGCTAAAGATTGCTGATGTCTTATTATCTGAAAATACAAACCTTATCGTTAAACTGGTTGTGATTAGAACAGGAGCAGAATGTCAAGTTCATGTAGTTTCAGGGATTTTCTATAGGTGAGCAATCGTCCGGTTGGGTCTGTCCTTGTAGACCCAACGATTGAGCAAAATGTCCTAAAATCTACTGATCACTCATAAGATGATGATAAAACAGACATATTGACACCAACACATGGTTTTTTTTATGCAGTCGGACTTTATATACTCCACCATGTATTCATATTCTCAACTTGATTGCACTGGAATAAACCAGCGTATTGCGCTACTTATGGTTCTGGATGTAAATATCGACCTCATTATTGATACCAGCAGCTTGCCGTAAGGAATTGATATTTGACACATACGTTGGTGCAAAATGAAAAATGCAAGTTAAGCTGCTCTTCAGGAGCACCTTCCACACAGATCATTTTGAGTGAAAAGTGGTCGTCTGTGCCACGTTAAGATTTTTCCTTTCACTGCTATTGGTGTATTAAAAAAATCATTTCAAATAAATGAAAGAATAGCCAAGTGAAGGAGGCAAGTGATGCCTGGTGGCCCGCCAGGCTGATGAGTTCATGGAAGAAACCTTGGACCTTTGATTATCCAACAGCAGGAACGGTCATGAACGGATTGATTCAAACAGGACCAGCCAAAGTCGCCCTTCTTCTATTTTCAAAAATATTATCCGACTCGCACACAAAAATGTAACCTTGCCGTTGTGTTTTGTTCAGAGCAATTAGCAATCCACTTTGAGCTGAAACTGATACGGTCTTTTCGTACAGCGGACCCGGCTCCGCGTCGTTCTCGAACGTTGCCCGCGCCAATGAAAGGGAAACCGTAATAACCTCCACTCTTGTAAATCCAAACGTTTACTGAATGCAACTCAGAAAAAAAATGAAAATTACAAAAAAACATGAGATGCTCCAACGGGGCGATCAGATGTCTTCCACATCAAAGACTCGATGAGCCGCTCTTTGATGAACGCCATCCCTCGCTACCCGAGGTTACATCATAATGGCTTCCACGCAGATCGTAACCGAAGCAGCTGCTGCCTCCTTTCACTGTTTATATTCTGTTTCTTGTAAAAGCAAACTTGGACTACAGATGGGACGTGTTAGCTGGCAAAGATGTGCCAAGAGCTAACTTTTTTGGGGGGGGTTTCAATTTCAGTAGCTTGATTTAAAATAGATTTTCATTGGTGGCACTGTTATTGACACCTTTGCTAATTCCCTTACAATAAATGTAACTGGTGTTTTTTGGAAATTTCAATCTTTTAAGATATTTACAGCTTCTATGAATGTCTACTTCATAATACACAACATTGTTTCACCTTTGGTATAAATATGACGAGACACAGAGGCCAGTTTCTTATAGCAACACGGCGATACCCCGGCCTTCTCGTCACTTTGTCAAATAAGCACAGATGGTAAAGAGGTTTAGAAAAATCCCAAATTGTTATAAAAACGGGCCATTTCAGGTCAACAAGACCACATGACAGAATGTTTTTGTCAGACGATACGGAGCTGCTACACTCCCTATAGACTAAAACATTAGAGCTGAGCCGAGGACAGAAGCTAGAAATATGTATGATTTAAAGAGATTGTGCAGCATCTGTTTGTTCCACCGTTGGAGATCACTAAGTGCTATTGTATTGGCAAAGTAATGTCAGAAACACTTGCATTTGAAACCAATTTGTCGGAAAAGCTGAAGTCCTGATGAGATGTGGCTACCAGGGGAAGGAAATTCATGGATCAGTCTGAAGCATGGGGGCATGCTGACCGTTGATTTGACCCCAGCCTCTCTCCCTGGGGGAGTGGGCCGCTGGGCTCAGGTGTGGCTGCTGTGAACAGCTGTAATGGCTGTGTTCAGGTCAGCACTCAAACCTTTGCTCCAACCTTAATGGAATAACGTCCAAGACACAAGAAGCCCTGTCCATCATGATTTCCCTGCCTCCCTCCCTCGCTCTGCGCTGCTCTCTGAGAGAGGATTTCCAGATGTTTATCATGAAGCTGCGCATATTTTTAATAGAGCGAGCTGACCTCGTTTTTTTTTTTTTTTTCCTTTTTCTTTTTTTTTTTGCAGAGCGTTTCCTCTCTGCTATTAAAATCGACATGCGTTGTTTGGCGGGCTCGCCGATGATGAAGATGACCACACAGCGGAGTGTGAGCGCCATGCTGGTGCCTCGGATCAAACAGAGCAGCAGCAGCTTGTAAATTTCCTATTTATGGGAATTCTTTCAGATTTTATGACATTATTTATCTCATGCTACCAGGGTACATGTGTCCACAAGTATTTATTGTGTTTATGTAAACTTTAGTTGCCCTCGTTATAGTACTTTATGTTGATAGGGGGGGGCTGGATTGCATACAGCTGCCTCTCTGCTCTCTGATCACATGTAGAATAAGCTACTTTTAGCCACAGTCACTTGACTTTCTTGAGGCTAGATGCTGGAGCCTGCGCCGAGGCTCAATGTGACTCTCTGGTTCTGAGCATACACACAATACAAGGAGTGTGTTGTGGGTGGCTGTGTGGAAATTCCATGTAGGATTCAGTTTAGAGCCGGAGGTGTGGTTTCCTTTTCTGTGTTAAAAGCCGACCTATTACG